TAAAATTTAATTGTTATCATAGGATGACATCCTCATCATTCCTTTTTCGGATAAATCTGTTGTCAAAGTCCACCCAAGAGATAAATCAGCAAAATAATATATTATCTTCTCTTTCATTTCAATATTGCTTTGAGTATTCGCAAAAATGCAAATAACAATAATTGCTCTCCTTTATATTCGGACATTCTTTAAACATATTCAGAAATGTATATGTTAATGTGTGTGCATATCACATTCACATAAGAAAGAAGTCTGACCTCATTTGTATTTTATAAAATCATCAAAATTGTTACAATGTAAATTTAGTCATCATAACAATTTTGATGATTTTATTAAAAATGCTTATTCATTTCATCAAACCTATTATATTCGCGTATCCAACTCAAGTCATTGACTTTTCGTTTTATCACAATTACAATGTATGTAACTATAAAACATAAAATTGCTACTAATAAAGCAAATCTTAATGGCTTTCCCAGAGAGTTAACAATTATTAAAACTATTATTTATTTTACGTCTTTCGAACGGATACTTAGCAGCTTAAATAGAAAACCTTTAAAATGCTGCTAATTACTAACTAATCATCAACAGCCTTTAAAAGTCCACTGCTAGACATAGGCCTCTCCTTAGAAAGGAGGTTTTGGCCTTCTATACCACGCTGGCCAGACGGGTTGGTATACGGTTTGTGTCAAGTTTTCCTTCTACCGCAGTGCTGTTGTTCTGCGTAGTTTTATCCCTTAGTCGGCTCTTACGCCACTCACGGGATGAATAGGGTGACACTCTGTGTTCTTAATACGTCACCACACGGACCAATATCAAAATAACGTAGCAAACAAGCTTAGAATAGACAGAAAAATTATACTGATTTTCTTAATCATGGCCGCCCTATTTGTAAACAGACAAAGTCGGCAATTGAATTCGTTTGAATTTATTAATTCCAAATTTGTAATCGTGTTAGAGCTACTGGTTTACTATTACGCTTCTGGGAATATGTATACGTGTTTAGGAAACGTAATTTTTTGCGCAGTAAAATTAAAAAGTAAATGTTATTAGGGTCCGCGTTGTTTTTAATGTGAAACTTTTTATGGGGGTTCTGTTAACTGTTATTTTAAACAATGCTGATGCAACAAATACTTAAACATTATTTTTTTGTGTTTTAGTTTTATAATTTACAAGAAAAAGTGATGCGGCAACGTGAAAAATTTTTTTGCTACAGTCGCAACGATAATAAGAAAACAGTTACTCGATTCCAATATTCAGTTACCAACCACAAGCTTAATATTTCATTATGTTTAGTTTAATCGAGTTCTAAGTAACTTTTTAAAAGTCCTCACTAAATCTCTTATTTCTTAACGTTTTTTTATTCAATTCAATAACTTTATTTTTAAATCGCGATAAGGCACACAATGAATAAAACCTACACAGCCAGTATCACGAAATATATCAAATTGGAAATATTTGTTATTCCCACAGGTTATCAAATTCAAAGTTCAGTGGAATAAGATAACCGTCATTGTTCTTAACGCTAGGTCAACAGCGAATCGGCCATGTTTACTTTTCAAGAACTCTTTGTTCGATGGCCCACTTTGTTAATTTTTAACGTCTAACGAACCTACTTTTTAAGAGAAGATTGTAATTCACACCTTTTTATAGAGCTGCCAGGTTGTTTAAGCAATACTAATACGTAGCTGCTTTAGGGATATGTTTCGTTGAAAGTTATCGTCGTCTTAGATTCTAAACTGGTTGCCCTTGCTTCAATCAGTCTGGATACAAGTTCTTATCTGTATTAAATCAAGATACATAAAAACATCATAGAGGTCTCAAAGTAAAAAAGACTTGTAGAATGTTGGTCTAGAAATATAAGGTTAGGTTATTAGAACTTCGTCACTCCTCGACGGCGAATCGAATCATCTAAAGAAATCATTCATTTTTCATAGTTGGCTACAACGGCAGCAATATCCAATATTAGACATACTTTCATTAATTTCCAAGCCATGGAAAATACCGTTATTATTGAAAGCTATGGTGTATGAAACGCTTTATTCGTCGACCTACATTATGGTTATAAGTTTAACTTTTTAAATATAGAATAGAGAAAGTATGGTACTTTTTCTAAGGAACTAATGGTCGCATTCCATTTTTAAGTTTAAAATTTTCGTCATTAATGTTTTGTTTATAGTCTGAGCAATGAGGTGACAAAAGCAGTACTCGGGCTCACAATGTTGCCACTGTTCTTAATGTTAATGTTATAGTTTAGTAAATTCCTTTGAGTTAAATAAATGATCATTGCGTTTGTGTCATTTATTTTAAGTTAGCTTTATTGTATTTTCAAACCCACACCTCTGGAAATTATAGTAGGCAGGAAACAACGCTTCAGAATATTCGAAATTAGCTTTTTTGTCACTAATAAAAAATACAAACTCAATGCCATGTAAAACACGACCGCCTATTATTATATAGGGAGCCATTATTACGAAACGTGTGAATACAGAAAATAAATGTGGCCAGCAACGAACCGCTTAATAACGTGTTATTTGTTTTCACTTTTTGGCGCGCGTTATAACGTTTTTGCTGTAACTTGAGTCAACTTTTATTATAATATTTTTGCGAATGTGCTCATTTATGAAATGTTTGAAATAAAAACGTGTAAGCTTTTGTGTCTGCTTTGAATATTCAACAACCATTAAGTTACAGTAATGAGTGGGTATCTGCTATTTTCTTTTTGTTTCATAGATACGTTGCTCTCACGTAAAGAGGTATAAAATAAAATCATTCCATATTTATTCACTACACTACTATCACCATTCTTTCTACATTTACATATGTTATACTCAACATGCATGCTTTTAACTAGTGTCGTATAGTATTCACAATATTCTTTATATTTGCTATTATTTCCAAGTATTACTAGTACCATGTAAGGCGAAAAAGCGTAAAAGCAACTTACAATCGTGTAGCGAATCAGGAGTTGCACGATTGACACTTATTTGTCATCTTAGTAAGTATTGTAAAAATACCTTAAGTCTTATCATCTTTATCATCAACAGCCTTTAATAGTCCACTGCTGTCCTAAACGTAGACCATTCCTGAGAAAAAAGGTTTTTGCCTACTATACCACGCTGGCCAGACGGCTTGTTATAGGGTTTGCTTCAAGTTTTTCTTCTCTTTGCGGTACTATTGTCCTGCAGAAAATGCTCCCGTAGTCGGCTCTTACGACGTCCACAGGATGAATAGGGGTAATAACACTCCCTATTCGTAATCACAAAAAATAAATAAATAGTAAAAGTAATTGAAAACATCCATCTACTAAAAGAGAATGCCATATTAATAAAAAATAAATAAAAAAGAACAGTAAACTGTTTTACACATTTTTAAACATTTTATTTCTTTGTTAAACTACAGTAATTTGAACCATTTTACCGTTAAGGAACCCTAAGGCATACCAATTACCGATACTAAATCAGTTAGAACGAAATAAAATTCATAATTGTTGGTGATTCACTATGCGGTTGCGGTTTTGATCGACTGACTCATGCCCCAAGGTGGTGAACGTGATGATTCAATTAGAAATGCACCTTTTTTCCTTAACCTTTGAAGTGAAGCTGCATCACTAATAACTTTTAAAGTATTTTAATAATTTGATGCGTCATGGTCATTATAGAATTCATGTTGCATTGTATTGCGAGTTATTAAACTAATTGACAAACCTGTTGGTTCAGTGGTTAGTGACCTTGAGTGCTGAACAGGTCGTGGATTTGATTCCCACCCCGGACAAATATTTGTGGGATGACCACGATCATTTGTTCTGTGTCTGGGTATAATTTATCTATAATGTGTGTGTTTGGAAAAAAATTAGTATGTTAATCAGCAGTCTGGTTACCATTGTACAGGATCTGCCTAGCTTGGGATCAAACAGCCGTGTGTGAGATGTGTATTATTATTTATTTTATTTAATAACTTAAAATTATACATTTAAATTTAGTCGATAATTGAAAATACAGACGAACAATTAGGAACAGTTGGTCCATCACCGTTTACATTTCAGGTATATATTTTGTGCCACCCTGCACTGCAGCAGTTTACCTACTCAAATCATACTATTTTGACTATTTTAAATTATCATCATAGGATAATTAAAAAAATACCTGCAAAACTTTGCAACTATCCGAATGTCTTAGTAAAAATGAAACTTCCTGCACACCTCTTTACCAAAAACTCTGGTGGTCCGAGAAGGGTTTCTTTTATGGAAGAGGGGGCAAACGAGCAGACGGTTCACCTGTTGAAAAGCGACTACAGCCCACGAATGCCTGCAACTCAGGAGTCGCAAGCGGGTTGCCGGCCTTTGAGGAAGGAGTACGCTCTTTTCTTGAAGGTTGTATCGGTCCGGAAAACTATTTTTTTGTAGAAAAAAAATAGTCTGCTACTAAGTAATATCCTAAATGCAATGTGTGTCATGATATCTCGTAATATACCACGTGTCTACCTACATACAATTGAGATAGATAATATCCTCAAAAGCATTTTACTGAGAACTCGAGACGGAGGACCGTTATGTGATAACGTCAAATGGCGTCGTAACACGTTATCAAGTAGGTTTCTCTGTATACATATTATGTATAAATGTATAAATAATCATATAATGTAACATACATATTTTGCTATTCGACTCAATGCAAACGAAATGTGACAGTTGATTTTTCTTTTATTTATACTGAGTTGTTTTGATAAAATAATGGTATATATTACTTGGTATAAGTAAACTCGATTGTTATTTTAAATAACATTTTAATTAGTTAATGCGTTTTTTATGGTATAATTTAATTTATGTTGGTTTCCCTCTCCATCACTTATTAATCGAAATTATATTATCCTTTTCCTTATATTGTCATTAATAATATTGGTTACAAAAAGTTTAGACCAGTTGACCTAATCAGAAGTGCAGACCAATTTCAACGCATTTTCTTGGACGCATTAATAAAAAAATATTTTTCTTTTTCCAGCTGATCCGTTGCCAGGCAAGCACGTACCACTAGAGAGTTATGAGAGCGAATTGGAGAGGGAACACGCTCTGCCTACGTCCGTCCCCAACGCCGACATACTCAAGACTAACAGCAACCCGACGTATCATAAACCGAGGTAAGCTTGACCATAGACAATAACTATGTAACATTATCTCCATACTTTGATTATTTGTTATCCAAACAGTCCGCTTCTTTGTAATAAAAAATAATTATCGTAAAACCCTGAACGGGATAGGTCTAATCGAGATTTTACGCGACGCGTAAACGGTCAATTCTTTACTCGGCCTGCGTAAAAAGGTAGATTTCTCACGCGCCGTTTGGTACGTTCAAATCGTAAAATTGGCATATCTTTTATATCTTTTACGAAAGATTAATTTTATACAGGGTTGGTAAAGAATTATAAATGAAAATTAAATATTTTTTTAAGGAAATTGTACAGTTGTTTTGATAAAATGTTAACTGAGTTATGAAATTCGCGCTGCAGAAAGAAAAACACAGTGAGAAAGCACGTTTACTTTAGTAATGTGAAATTTTAACATCGTGTGTATGCATATTAAGTCCCATTTTCTTTACAAACAAAACAAACATGCAATTGTGTGCCTTCTGAAGAATTACTAACTTCTGATGATTTCTTCTTACGATTTTGTTAAACAATTCGATGGTATAAAATAACACATTTTTTAGTCTAGACAACAAATTACCAATATTGTTTCTAACCCTTCCAATTAAGTGCGTGTACCTATTAGCTTTTAGTTCCCTCTATTTTTACCAAGGATTATATTTGCGTTCTTTATTACAATGCTTCAGCAGAGCCATAATCTTCAAGCAGACATAATACAGACAGACATAATCTTAAAGCAAATAAATTAATTTAAGATTTCCTCTCTTTACCAGTACCATAATTAAAAGCAATATCTTCAAACGTCATTTCCTATGATTTTATTGAGGCCAGCAAGTCGAAACTTCTTTTTTTTATCAATTTTATTACTGTACCAGGTTTTGACTGTAACTTCGCTAGTTCTGATGATGATTTTCACGTTTCGCCGAACATGAATAAAATAATTATTTTACAAAGCTATTGATGATAAATTTCTACACAAATATGACATATTAAAAATGCGTAAAATAGAGAGGAAATTTAAAAATTCTTATTTACAAATCAAATAATAAAGTATTTTAAATCAATGGATGACGTAAAATTATAAAATAATAATATCATCAACAGCCCTCAACAGTCCACTGCTGGACAAAGGCCTCTCCTTACAATGGAGGTTTTGGCCTACTATACCACGCTGGCCAAACGTGTTATTATAATAATTATATATCTGCAGGAAAACACTGACGCAGAAAAAAACAGAATTAATAAGAAAGTAGGATTCAATCAGTCAATCTATTGCAATTCACTGCTATTGCAGACAGCTCCTTCATTTTCAGCTTCCAGTCTATACCAGCTGTCTTCCAGTCTATCTGGCTGGGGCGTCTTATCTTTCGTTTATCGATGTTTTTTCTACTCGTTGAAGTTAGTTATCAGCATATTCACCCAACCGCAAGACAAACCATATCCTTATTTGCTGTTTTAGTTATTTAAGAGGGCAATAAAACGGTGTACGCAACTAATTACTTAAAGAACTCATTTATTTACACAAAAACATGCCCTCTCACGCAAATAACAATAAAAAACTGTGGCGATTAATTAAAAGAAGTATTTAATTAAATTAACGTAATTATTAAAATTAATTGTAACCACTTCATTAATTATTATAATTAATTGTATTAAGATGTTTTACCTAGCTTTATTTTCAAAAGTATTATCATTCGAGTTAATGTCAAATATTCGTAATTTTTTATTGTTATTTTTAAAATATACTTTTTACAAGCATTTATAAAAGTTACGTTTTGAACAGTAATACTTATACGAATAGTCTAACTATAGTCTTCTACGCGAAGCGGGTGAGATAGGTCCCATCTCTGAGTTTTCCAAACTAGAGCTGCTAGACTGCTTAGATAATTTAATGAAAGAGGAAATTGCGACAAATTTTGTAGGTTTTTGTGACAGGTTTTCGTAGTATTGCGAAAGTACCTCGAGTCTGCTAATCTAAAGTAGTCTAACGTTTGTTATGAGTTTTGTCCTGACAAAAAAGCCGTGCTAAAATGTGGTGAGCACTGTGGCTCTGTTGGGAATCAGACTGCCGTGTATGGGATGTGTGAACATATTATTATTAAACAATGAAAAATTGTAAAACACTTTAAAAAGGAAACCCAATCATTTCTGAAATTAATTACATTTCACGTATATGTTCATAGAATATAATAAAAACCGTTTACCTGAAGGTCCACCTCGAAAACTGTTTGAAAAACTGAGATCTAGACAATTTAAAGGTAAAATCATTTAACTTTGGCAACATTATGTCTCTTAATGTTCTTTTTTACTGCATAACTTTTTAAATTTCCCTAATTTGGACAGTTTATTCTTTTATTTTCAACTTAACTAGGCAGGTAAATTCTAATTAAGTTTCTTTAGAATTCATTTCTTTAAAAGTAAGTTTATATTGAATATTTTTATACGAATAAGTTAGCAAACAAGCACACACGAAATTTAAGTGATTTGCTTTGCCTATAATATACTCGCAATAACAAATGTGACAGTAGCGTTTTACCAACCCGATAAATTTCACCTCTCTATTACAATACTTATACAATACTATTATATTAAAATTTACATTTTCGATTCTTTAGTTTACGTTTAATGTACGTGAGTGAGGTTATCGGAGACAAAATGCTCTACTTCGCGAAATCAGGATAGCACCCACCCGCCCTCTCATTTAAGACGAAAGTCCGAGCTCAAATTCTCGACACTAGCAAATTCATCACATCCCTAAAGTTTTATATAGCGTACTATGTGTATATATATGTATGTATGTACCTCAGAAAATATATATGTATATATATATATATATATGTGTGTGTGTGTGTGTAGTTCTGTATGTATGTATATCTGTCACACTGTTTCTGTCCATATCCTTAATTATTTTTATCTCGTCTCGTCATTTCCCTACTACCCAAAGGTAGACTGGGAGAAAATGCCTGTGGCATTAAGACCGCCATTGTACAATTAATTGTTATTTGTGCAAAAAGTATTAAATTCTTATATATTATTAATACATAGGTTTATATATGTATGTAACTAGGTAAATATTTATGTATGTGTAGGTATTTGGTACGTATGTATATTAATCGCACTGTTTCTGTCTAACTTATCAATAATTTTCTTTTACTTTACATTTCATTGTCTAGTGCACCTAGTCACACATTTCAACATCACCCTAAGGTAGACTGGGAGGGACACATCACATCAACAGCCTTTAATAGTCCACTGTTGGACACAGGTTTTGGCCTACTATACCACGCTGCGCAGACGGGTTTGATTCAAGTATTACTTCTCTTTGCAGTGCTGGTGTCCTGCGTAGTTTTCTCTTACGACACCCATGAGATGAATAGGAGTAATGACATTCCGTATTCTTAATCCGCCACCACACGGACATGTGTGGTGACAGTTTAAGGACCAAAGGTGGCTACCGAAAGTGGCTAAATCTGAAATAACCAAACATTTGGGCGACTTGACGCCTGTTCACCACCATCAATACTACGAATTAGTAAGCGAAAAGTTATTTTTGAATACAAAAAGAAATAAGTGGTTCAACCGAACAATGAATATAATAGAAATATCGGCACAAACAGCGCCTGCCTTTCCCCTCTCCTAGAAAATTTTCCTTTTATAGTACACTCGATCAATCAACTCTACATCGATTGTTAATTCGCGGAAGTAGGTTTCAAGCAGTGGTTCTCAAACTTTATAAAAGTACTATGTAGTTCTGTTTTAATGACGACTATTTATTTGATAAGTTTGCATGGTTCTAAAACGTTTCATTTAAGTTCAGATTCAGATTCAAATTTTATATATTGCGAAACATCAAACAGTACATTAAAGGTGACAATGCATAGTTATTATGTTCTACCAAAATGGGCATGCAAAATATAGTAAACATGTCAAAAATCTAGCCTGCAACATAACATACAAATTTATTTATTTTATCACATACCAATTAAATGAAAATGGATTTTATCTGACTCATGAAATTGCAACCAAAATATCACTAATACACTTACTTAATGTTAGTATCTGATAAGTGACCATTTACAGAATAGTATGCCTTATTTATATAATATAGCAATGTTTTCAGTTGGTTTTGAAACATGCTTAAATAATCGGATGCTAATAGCGATTTTGGTAATTTATTATACACTCTTGGAGCCATACTTAAAAAGCTTCTGTTTGACGACCGGATGGCACAGTGGTTTGTGTAACAGACTGCTATTCCAAAGGTCGCGGGTTCGATTCCCGCTCAAGTCAAACATTTGTGTGCATGAACATTTAAAGTTTGATTTGTGCTGGGTGTTTCTATGTATAATATGTGTGTATTCACAAAAAAAAAAGTATATATGTAGATATTTATATCAGTTGTCTAGTAGCCATAGTACAAGCTCTGCTTAGTTTTGGACTAGATGGCGTTGTGAGAATGTAGTAAAATATATATATATATAGCTTTTTTGTGGTGTCTGAACCGTATTTTGTTTTTATGTCGTATACTGTTAAGGATTTCAAACAAATAAAAATTCTATTTACTACTGCTACTACTCTTCTTAATTTAACTCGTAGCTTATCTGTTTGCAACAGCAATTTTATTTTTCAATTTAATTTTGATTTATTTTTATTGCAGTCTTCTTTAAATTTTGCTCTTACATTAGGAAGCAATTTTTTTTGACATGTGAGGCAACAATTTTAAAAGGCAATGTTTGTAACGCTTTGACACCTTAACTACTTAACTTAGAAAGCGGTACTATTTTGGTTAATGGTAAGGGTATCCTAGAACAATTCTTAAGTACCGTACCTATGGAATAGATTAATTGACTCAATTTACATGAACGGGAATAGGGACAGATGATATCCTTACATATTATCAAAATTAAAGAAAGGTTTACGTGTAGTGGCTTCGGTATTCTATTGAGCAAGTTTATATCTAATAACGTAAACCGGAGAGTCGCTTATTATTTTTAGCGACTTCTAAATAGGAATAGTTTCATTAACTCCTTAATATCAGGTAAGCCTTATGTTTGCAACACGTTTATAATATTAGCCAACCGATTTCAAACTTTGTGAACCGCTGTTTTACTACAAAAGCTATTATTCGGCTTCATTATTATAAAGTCGAGACTTATTCAAACAAAGACTTAAGTTTTTTGGGACTACGTTCAATCCTACGTCAAATATTTGACCTGGTTAAACGTTTGACTTTCATTGTTTTGACCCACGGACTTTGATTGTTGTAAAAGTTTAAACGGTGTGTTTTATTAATTTTATTGACTTAATTACTTTAAATCAGTTTTTCATCAATTTTTTTTACACTTGTTGGTTCTAGGCATACACGTGATTAGAAACCTTTAAGTTTCTAAAGAAACTTTATTAATCTATAATATTCGATTGTAAAATCAGTTTGTCCACGTGGGATTGAGAATACCTAAGGAGTGTCAACCCCCCTATTCATACCCTGGGTGTCGTAAGCGACAATAGCACGGCAAAGAGAAGGAAAAAAGGCACAAACCCTATACCAACCCGTCTGGCCAGCGTGGTATAGTAGGCCAAAACCTCCTTTCTAAGGAGAGACCCATGTCAAGTAGCTGACTATTAAAGGATCATGATGATGAAGTGTTAACATAAAGAAACATACAGAGGAATTCTTAGCAAACTCAAAGTTGGAATTTAAGCTCAAATTAAAAACCCATTTTACTTAATAAGCTGTTCCTAGAAGACTTAGGTCGGTGATACCTGTTGTTAAGCAAATTCATAGACAGAAAATTTAAACAAATTTTCATTATAATTATTTTTCCTAATGTGAAGCTTTATGCTAAATGTGCCAGTTTCGCTGTAAGGAAAGCATATAATCTAAAGCCTTAAACATGAAAAAAAATACACAACTTCATAAACTATATACGCGTGTTGGTAATTTACGTCACACAAATATCACGCCTTTTCTCCGAAAGGCTAGACAGAGCTGTACGACACCCACGTTTACTAAAGCTATAATAGACATTTATAAGTAGAGAAATCCAGGAAACCGCAACACCGCCCCATCCGGGAATCGTACCGAAGGCATAAAAAATACCTCCTATGGAAAAGCAATTTATTTTTTCTTAGAACCACAGGAACGACGCCTCTGATAAAAACTGTTTTTTTTTATGTTCATATACACAGATGGCCCGGGTTTTCTACTTACTATAATAATATACAAAATTTTTTTCAGACATCTGTCACACAACGCCATCTAGTTTCAAACTAAGCAGAGCTTGTACTTTAAAAGCTAGATTGACAGATAAAATACTTATATACCTATTTTTTTAAGTATCTCTATACTATACATAGGAAACACCCAAACTCCGAAACAAATATTTGCAGATCATACAAAACATTAGGTCAAACACGGGAATCGAACCCGAGACCTCAGAACAGCAGTCACATACGGTACCACTGCACAACAGAGGCAGTCTATATATTTAGAAAAACTATTTCGTAGGTAATTTTGTGTCATTGTGTATTGTGTTCTAACATTAGTAACATTGGTAGGTAAGATAGTTTTTTTAATTAAAAAAACCTATTTTCCTAATCCCAAATAGTGTTATCTATACTTCCATACTTATATATCATTATAAATATGAAAGTGAGTTTGTTTGTTTGTTACACTTTCACTCCTAAACCACTAAACCGATTAAAAAAAATCTTTCACCAATGAAAAGCTACATTATCAGCGAGTAACATAGGCAGCTGTTTACCGCGATAACCGACACACTCCTTTATTTTTTATTCTTTTACATTTTTTGTAAAAGACAACTTCCGAACTAGAAATATCCTGTGTCGCGACATTCATGAAACGTACATAAAGAACACCTAGACCCAGAACAACAATTTCTTGATCGCACCAAATATTGTCTTATGTGGGGATGGAACCTACAACACTCAGCGCAGCAGGAAGCGGCGAGATGGCCGCTTAAACCACTACGCCACTTTAATAAAATAACTTTAGGTAGGTTAGTAAGGGGTCTAATGCTCCTACACTCTGTAGAGGGTAGGTTTAATTTATGCACGAGCAATTAAACAGCTAAATGTTTGAATAGAATGTCAATGAAAGTAAACTATAAACTCTTTGGCACAGTCACGGCGAGTTCGGTGAAGAATCTTCAACATTTATTAAAATACGTGACAATAAAAGTTTTATAAGAATATTGTTCGACGCCGAAACCAGCGGTTCAATTAATGTTACATAAAGCTCAAATTTTACTTATCTTTGAAACCTGTTTGAGAATCTAGATGTAGCGATAAAAAAAATAATATGAAAATTTAAGTCAATGAATTTTCTTTATCCGAATAGGAATACAGAGTGTCACCTCCATTCATCCCATGGGTGTCGTGAGAGGCGACTAAAGGAGCAAACTACGCAGGACAATGACACTGCAAAGAGAAGGAAAACTTTATACAAACCCTATACCACTCTGTTGTGAAAGACCTATGTCCAGCAGTGGACTATTAAAGGCTGTTGATGATGATGATAAATTTTCTTACTAGACAACAATCACCGAACTTAAAGCGTCTAAGCCACGTTTCTAGGAACCGTTTATTAAGTTAACTGTAAAGTGTTGAATTTGAACTTGAACGCTAACTTGGACCTCGTCAATAATATTTTTTTCATTTAATATTTACGCAATTTAAGACATTTTTTAGGGTTTGCCTTTGTTGCATAAAGCGAGAGAATGCCTGAAAAATGCGAAAAAACTCGTTCGCTTAACAATTCGCCGTTTTCGTGGCCCTCCACCGACTTATAAGCCGTTGGCAAACTCAAGTTAGTGTGATTATGCAAATCGCCAGGAGTTACAAAGGGCACGACTCACGACTAATCGTGTTTGTAATCAGTTTTGCGATTTAAGTCTCGCATAATCGTAAAGCAAACAGCGAGTGGATCGCATAAAAACTCCGTAGGTATTCAGCGTTTGCTGTCATTAGGATTTTTGAGTTTTAATTAAATGTACATACCATGATAAAGTTACGATCAAGCAAAGTTTGTTTATTTGAAGTGGCAGCCCTGACAATTCATGTATCCCGCCTTTTATTTGTTGGGGATAAACAAAAAGTCAGGTAAATATGATTTTCGAAAAACATTGTTTATAACCGCCATCGTTCTGCGTTACAATATGCTACTTATTACTTATACAATACTTTACCGTATATTATGTCAACGCATACTAAACGATATTTACATTCTTATGTTGCCATCTAGTGGTGAGTAGCGGTACTAAATAAGTTATTCCATTCAATGTTGAAGTTGTGTAATATTTTTACAGCCGTATTGTTTTACCCTTAATAGCCTTTGTACTATATTATTATTTTTATTTAAAATACAACAAAACAATTTTAACTAGTTTTCTTAATTACAAAGACAATAAAATGCTTATCTTGGTATTTAATCAGATAACGATCTGCAATGTGCCAGTAGCGCTATCTAGTAGTGAGTTATTTTTCTTAATTCTTAATCAAAGTTTCTTTGTTTTAACACGCTGATGTCATTATCTACTATATAACCCGATTTCAGTCCTTCTTTTGCATTAACTATATAACACCACGCTAAGACTGAAAGCAGTGGAGTAGTGAATGAGTAGAAAAAGTTAAGTTAAACGTCAACAGATTTGATAAATTGTATGCCAGTGAAATGTATATTTATTATATTAAAAAAAAACTCTTAAAAATTACGAAAATCTACAAAGGAACTAATTTTTATTTAACCAATAATAACTTGATATGTAAGGGACTTATGTTAAAAGTATAATAAAAAAACTTGTTTGATATTAGCGGAGATCAACAGATATCTAGATTAAGCAAAATTCTAGCGTTTTTCTATACTCATTAAAATGCGGTTTGCGTACTCAAAATAAACCGAACTGAGTGACCAAGCTGTGGCATATTGCCAAAGGCTGACATTTCCATACCAGACTGTTGTACAAAACATTGAACCTCAAGATCACGTAAATACTATCAAAGGAAGTGTCAACATCTACTGGTTATGCTCAATTTGAAGGTTCAACGACATTATGAAAAATATTCGTTTGCGCTGTTGTCGTTATAAAATTTACGATGCCATTTAAGATTTTAAATATTTAAGTTAAAGTTTTTACTTGTATTATGGGGGAAATTTATAGCGAAGTGGGTAATTCAGTAAATTTATTAATTGAGTTTTCCTGGAATGTTACTGCCAATTTTTAATCTATTTATTACTAGAACATCACACATTGTAATTATTCTTTGTATCTAAGCTAAAACATGGTCACTGCTTAAATGCTAGCGTTAAAAGTGGGTTCAACCTACCTGTTCTCCGCCAGTAGGTACTATACTGGACCTATAGAGTAGTATGAGGAGTTCAAACCTGCGAATACGTTTGTGCCCGATAGATTTTATTTTGTAACTCTTAATTTGGACTTAATCTAGCGGTTATTTTAACTGCCAGAAGTCTTGGATTCGACGACCTCTCAGAACAAATAATGTAATTTATCTATGTTATGTATGTAGTAAGATACATATGTTTATTTATCAGCCGTCTGGTTATCATACCATAAGCTCTATCTAGGGTGAGATCAGCCAGCCGTGTGTGAGATGGGCCAATTTCCCATTCTTTGTAAAATCACTTTATTTTATTCAATGACTATCGATATATTTAAATATTTTTTGTTTAAAATTGTCCAATACTTATGATAATGGATTCCGTGAAGTAAATGTTTCCGGAACGTAAGATCGTATTTATTTCTGTGAAGTCAAACAATTTGGTGGATGAGTGTTATCATTTACACAAATGAAAAATGGGAATGAATACGCTTGAGTTTTAAAGTAAATTATTCATGATTATTTTATGATGACATATCAAATTCACCATTTCTCGAAAAATATTTTCAAAATTCTTAGTGATTTACGCATGATTAAATTATTTTTAATGTTTTCGTAGTAGTACAGCCTCTTGAAAAAATACCTAGTAAGAAGACCCAATTAGTAATTCATTCAATCAATTGTATAGTCCATTGCTGAACATAGGTTGAGGGTTATGGTGCACGGGGAGCCTCGATCATACGCCTTCCACATTCTATCTACCGCAGTTACCTCTTCTCGGGTCTTCAGTTCATCGAGCTTTCTATCCCACCACCTCTCCACTCTAAGGAGGACATCGGGGATTCGTAAACGAAAGCGTATTTTATCTTACTCACTCCAGCGTCCTGTAGCAGATGGGCCTGTTGGTCTAGTGGTTAGTGGGTTCGTGGGTATTTATTCGTGGTATTCCCATCCAAGACAATATATAACGCGTGATGAGCACGATCATTTGTTCTGTGTGGGTTTATCTATAATATGTATGTATTTAGAAATTTATAAGTGTATTTATCAGCAGTCTGGTTACCATAGCACAGACTCTGCCTAGGTTAGGATCAGACGCCCGTGTGTGAGATGTGATGTGAGAAGTTATTATTATTGGAACGAGTTCCTTATCGCGCGTTGTGAAAGGGGGCTAGACGGAAAAAAATCTCACGAAAAGTTGTAATGACACTTTTTATGTCAGTCATTCAGCGCCATCTATCGAATAGATAGGAAATCATTTCTCAAGGAGATTTTATCAATGTATAAATTGTTTTAATTAGAAACCAACTGAAAAATATGTATGTAATAGCCGCTTTCATAGATGGCGTTGTAATTAAAATCGTGTCGAATCAGTTTTACTAGACAGTCACAACTTCGGTCCTATCGGGTGTCCGACGACACCACACGGCTTTTTTAATTATTATAGATATAACCAGCCTTATCACTACTTCAACTAGCGTAGTATGTAAGCTAATAATTAATAATTATTCAATATTAATTTTATTCTATTCCTCTCCTACAAGAAACTATAAATCGTAATGTACATGCCATTGTGGATAACAGGAGCTAAATACCAACGCGATGTAATCAGCATTGCGTTTGCGTTTGATTAAATGTTTACTCGGAAGCCCGTATTAAAGTGTTTTACATTCAAAGTTTGTCAGATGTGTTGTGCAGGCTGGTGCACACTGAATACTTTATTTCCTCAGTTTATAAATAGGTAGGTACTATGTGAATAAAAAATCTAAAATGTGTTATGTTTTCTTAGATATGTAGCTCTATCGATGTGTTGGTTTATTTAACCCAGAGATAGCTTGGTGGTCGAATTTCGAAAATAACCCACTAACATTGGTCAATTTTTATTTCATTGACGAGTTGTACTGACTAAATATATTGTTTCTATGCCATGACAGAACACAGTGTGTACTGGACACGGGTAGATTTTTTGTCGCCATGCTTACATTGATATATTTAAGTCTTTGACATGTTTTACTTTCTGCACTGCATCGACACTCGACATCGGCATTCGACACGACGAAAATATTTCAAACATTACATCATAGAGTTCTTTTCGAGTATACATATAAGTACGTATCAGCGATTTAGTCGAGTGGTTGTTTGTGAAAAATTGTGATATATAACCTAAAAATAGATAGACATCAAAGTCATTCTTTATTTTCACTTCTTAAACTCGGTATTCTTTTCCAGGCCTCCTCAGCACCACGGCGCGGCTTTACTGGCGGGAGTGGGGGGAGGTGCGGCAGTCCCCTCGTACGCTCCCCCCGGAAGAGCCTTCTTCACGCCTCCTCTGCCGCCCGAGTACAAGAACCCCTTTGCTGACAAGCCTACACTCAGAGGTGAGTAACAAGCATTAATTAATTAATAAAAATCATCATATGGATACCTTACCTATGTATATATGACAGACAGATGTTATGATATAGATTAGGTTGTTAATGTTATCAGGGAAGGGCTGTCAGAGCTCCAGGGTGAACTCGATAATTGTAGATGGCACGAGGTATGTCGGGGCACCAGGGACTTCCTTTCTAGGGTATACCTGGTTCCCTGGCTATTAGTATCCGAGACGGCGTGCGGTTTTAGTCAGTTCGAGTCCGACATGCCACCGATAGGTGGTATCCGAGGGGATTTCCGCACGGAAAAAAAAAAGGGTGATCTCGATAACGTTCGCACCCCACTGGCCTGTCCGTCTGAGACCTTGGTTGTTATAAGACGTTAGGAGTATAAACTAACACATCGTTTCTGTACCAACTCAGCCAGCTTATCGAAAATTTTATTGTAATTCGGTTTTATTAAATATTTTGTTATTTTTTTTTTTATGTGCTTCTTTTGCTTAAAGCCTGTAAAACTAAACCCTTAACTGTCTTATTTCAGGCACAAACACAGATGGGAATAACTACCTTAATCGGCGGCCAATCCCCCCGCCGTCCCTCGGACCAGGACATGACCGGATACCTATCAGACCGCCTGGACAGGTACGTTATCTAATACCAATACAAAATAAGAAAGTTGTTGGGTCTCAGTCATGGATGACGATTTGATATTTGGTACTCCTTAAAGACATTCTAATAAATAGCCAATAGAAGAGACTTAGATAAAATACTTGGTGACAGACCGTCAGTAAAATATTTAAATCTAAAATTACTGTATCATGCAATTTTAAACCATAAAACAAAATATTAAACACTCGTCTTTTTTAATCCTTTTTTTTTACTGACATACTTAGGAACATAGCACATAAACTTAGCAAAATACACATTGGACGATGAAACGGTAACTAAAGTCAAATCTTCAAATTTTTCTAACTAAAAACTATTTTCATGTAACAGAAATCAGGAAAAAATAGGTAGGTGCTCATTTATTTCTACATCTTGTTTCCATAATGTGATATCGACAGCACCTTAATGATATTGGAATCTTTGATCATAAGACACAGTTGGCAATTTAAATGTCATTGTTTCAAATCCGTACGTCTCTGAACAATTATTAGAATAATAACTTTGGAGTTTATTCTCGTCACGTAATAGGAACCTTTGTGAAGGCGCCAACTTTCTATGTTTAATTTGAATAGGTTTAATTTGCCGATAATAATCTGAAGTAAAATGAACTGAATCATTTTTAAGACGAATGCTTTGATTGTGACATATCATTTGGACTGGAAACCAAAACCTACATTTAAAACTTCGACGTCACCAAAAAACCTGTTCCGTAAAAGTGACGAATGTGTGTAGTTCATACTTCATGGATTCCAAGTTCATACTTCAGTTAGACTTCAATCGGCTGGTTTTCCAAAATATATTTCTTTGTAACTTAGTCAAATTAAACACCTGCTTGACTCACAAATGTGTTTTATTTTCAGGAGACATCCTCGCCACAAGTGCCGGCACCTCCGCCCGCACCCCCTCTGCCGCCGGCAGGCATCGAGCCGCAGAAGAAGAAGGCTCTAAACACGCCTAGTCATAAGGTAAGGACCGCTACCGAGTGACAATCAAAATTAAATGGAAATTATTGAAAATTACGTCTCTTTAAAATCGTATTTATACAATTTGGATTATAATTCAATTCATATCCACCATATCGACTGCTACATAAATGTTTCATTCATTTTGTAAAAAAACAGTAAAAAAAAAATTGTGAAATAAATTGTACTAAGACTCTCTTAACTATTTTTGCAGCCTGACGAGTTGGACAGTGATGTAAGGCAGCCAGACACAGACCAGGCCAACTTCACAGACTTCGTGCCCAATTCGCTTAATATCCCGACCATATCAAGGATCCTGTCGGGATCCAACGGGAGGAAAGAAGACATCCCTGACGTCCTCCTAAGGACCGTTACAGCGAAGCCTCAACACAATCAAGAGAAGACGTCCAAGAATGACATGTACATAACTAAAGATGCTGGAGTGACTCTAAGTGACTCCAATAGGGATTCTTCAACTGAAGGATCAGTTTTAGCTGTACTAGATCCGGAAATGAACAATCTAGATAGACCTTTAGTCATAGATCAAAATGGCGAAACGAATACGAGAAGAAATCTCCAGTATGCAACTAATAAACAACCAGATAGAAATGATAGCAGAAACGAGGATTATACGCCAGCTACTACCATTGGATTTGAACTAAAAGACCCTGAAATGTCAACAGAGAGATATCACAACTTGGCCAATGTTAATTCAGATAAAAAGATTTTGAGACAGGATCCAAAGAATAACGGGCCAGTGCAGAGACCTGGAGCGGCCTGGCCCTTCGCTTGGAACCTCCATATTTATTTAGCGACAGTCATGTTTACTATCTTGGCAGTCTACTCCATATTTAAAATTTTCTGCTACAATAAGTACACGCATTTATTTACCCAAAACTATTTCATAATTCTACACTTAATATTAGTTCTCGTATGTCTATTGAGGATCTTCTACATGTGTTACGATCCTTATAACATTAATAATTCCCTCCCCAAGTTCATCAGCGAGATTCTTCTGCACGTTCCAGAAATTTTCCTCAGCACAGCGTTCGCTTGTATCATACTGTTTCTCCTTACAAATAGCATTAATTTTAAGAATACATGCTGTGCATTCCTCCTTCGTCCTAGGCTTATAATTATAGGTGGCAGTCTTCACTTACTGTCGTGTTTAATGTTGCATATCTTCGAAAGTAGTAATACAATAACTAGAAATACGCACGGCGTTGAAAAGAGGGTATTAGGTCTTACATGTCAAATAATATTTATTATAGTATGCCTAACATTGGGGCTATGCTATCTCTATGTATATAAGATGCTCAAAACAGTTCTACAGAAAAAGAGCCATACTTACATTAATAGTTTCCAAAATCTCCAGCAGGCGATACAAATCAAGTTAGCCACGGCCCTTCTCTTTATCTTGATGGCAGGCCTGCAAATTTTTGGAATCTTTGGCATTAATCAAGTAAACATGACCAAGTTCGACTGGCTCCAATGGGGCTATCAATTCTCTATGAGGTTACTAGAAGTTAGCATAGTAGCACTTATCTCTTGGGTAATAAGTTTGAAAGTAGGGATCGCATTGCAGCACGAAAAAGCTGACGGCCATAAAATATCAGGGCTTGGTCTTTTCCCCTGCGGGGCCGGTTCCAGCAACGAACAATTTGAATCTGATTACCCCGCAATTTGTAATACCAACACAAATCTACACACTTACACGATGAGAACTGGCAAGGCTCTTTACGAAAGTACTGGCCACCATCCAAATATGCCAATTAATGAACCTTATTGTGGCCCAGCCACAGAGCATCCAAGGTTCCAGCTAAATACACTGACTGGCAACTGCGATAACAACTCTGGAACTGAGAACTACTCAGGACACAGTTCTATAGCAAATGCTGGACACAGCAGTTCCACCGAATCCAGCAATGCGACATCCAGTCAGGGTGTGACTAATCATTTGATGAAGCACCATCCAAATATAGCTGGATACAACGGCATGGAATCTGTATCAGATGATCATTATTCTAATTGCGATCCTGCCATTCAGTCTCTTCAAGGAGATGACCCATTGGACCATGAATATAATGTCATCCAATATGATAGCAACAGCGATTTCGTTAGGGATATAAAGAACCAAAATTATAATGGTAGTTCTAATCGTAGCTCTCATAACTTCAAACACATGTCGTATGACAGGGTGTCATCGAGAACGAATAGCAATCCTCGTAAGAAGCATAGAGCGAAGAACAAGAATGTCCAGAATTGTATGACAATGGGTTATGACCCCTCAATTGACCACCACTACCACCAGCCACATGTGCCTGATGAATACGGAAATTATAACACAGAAAATGCGTCTTACCACGCTTCTGGCATCCAGACTCTAAACCCTAATAGAAGTTACAGCAACGATCCATGCCAACAGATCAGGAATTCGCAGCGAAGAAATTCTCCCTCGACATCCATGGGTAACTCCAGTGGAAGTCAGAAGCGTGGTAAAGGCAATGGATTTCCTGATAGGCCGAAATCTACTGATTTATATGGGTTTTCAGAAACCCCTAACGAAAGAGGGTATCCTTGTGCTTTGGGAGGTACTCCTCAACCAGCTCCTAGGAACTGCGGTTACGAGGCATCGTACTCCCAACCTCAGGACGAAATACCCATTGAAAGCGAAGGGAACAGCATGCTGGTGGCTGAAGACGGATTCTTCAGGATTCGTTCTATGAAGGAACCGTCTCCGAATTCTCAACCATCACATACCTGATTTTCTATAAATCTGTCATACACGACAGAACTCAGTTTTTGATAATATTTACTGTCTGGCAATTATATCACAACTATTGTTAGCAGTTGGAGCCAGTGTATTCGTAAGGTACCCATCAATATCAGCAGCAAGTTGATTGATGAACGTTACAATCAAACAACAAGAATGCGAAACAAACGAAAACGCCTCGAGGCAAAATAACTTTTTAAAACTAAATATTTTATTGTTAGTTAATTACTCTTAAATGTACAGTTACATGCTATTTTTTTGTCGACAATAGCCTCTAATTTTACGTAATATACGTATTATACTTTATTTAAAACTATAATTTTAAAGTGCTGACTCATTTGACAACGTCAAACCAAAATCGTGTAAAATTGTAAATGTTAGCGTAACACGTATTATAAGATTATAAAGCATAACGGCCTTTTGTAAATAGTCTAATTTTTAGTTTCTACGGTCTATGTAAAAAATAATATCTTATGAGATTTGCGTAAAAACACACAGTAGATAAAAATATTTTGAAACACATTACTACCGCGTAATAGAACGGTTTGCCATAGTGATTTCTGTTTCTGTTGCCCAATCAAAGAAATGAGTATATTTTCCACATAGATCATAGAGTAGGGACAGTATCATAATCCGATTTAGTATTTAATGAAGATTTAAATGTATGTGATATCAGTAAAACATTTTATTTGAAACAATCTGTCCATATTTAAAGTTAGTATATTATCAAAATAATTCTAAGTATTACGAATGCTATCTGACCTCCATTAAAATGTCGGAGAGTATTTATTAGATATTTCACGATTAATTTAAAATAACAAAAACGATTCGAACGAAAATGAGTCAGTTATATTTTCATATTAATCGTAAAATGTCTATTTAATATTTAGTTAACCGAAACCTACATTTTAATAATGAAAATATTAATTTCAGATGATTTTCATACCTAAATATTCTATGTGTCATTTGTCAAATAATATAATAAATTATTTCTCAAATAATTATGTATGTCTAACGTTATAGTTACAGATCACCTACACCACATTGCTGATATGCCCTATTGTCCATAAGTGTTACCATATTAGAATTTCACGAAATAGAAAGGGAAATGTTACTGCCTAGTTAAACGTTAATTTAGACAAATTATCCAATCTCCTGACCAAATTCGTCTAAAGTGACGTTGGGCATTGCCATTATTAATTATAGTTAATCCCGTTTTATGCCTGTTAACTAAATTATCATTCAAAGAATATATCCGTGTAGATATGTTGAATTGACTTATATAAAGTATGTAATATTTGTTGATGAGCTATGAGTTAGTAAAGTAGTTTTTGACGTGACAACGTCTTATAAATTGGTTTGCCGGGTGACACTTCAAGAAACTGCGTTACGCTCCGCTCACGTTATGCGCTCACAATGAGAGCGAGTGAGAGGCACGCGTCCCTTCCAATCGGGCATGGTTAGTCCGCCTAAGAGCGAGAGAGACAGACATAGTCGTTGTCACGTAAAACTTTCGCCCGTATACCGACTTTACAGGCAACCAATTTTTTTTTTTTGTCTGGTCACACCACTCCGCGTCGCGTTGTTGCAATAAATAGATTCATTAATCAAACTCGAAACAATAAAATAATGTTGTTAGTAGTTATTTAAAGCACTTATTTATGTATTTAAGTACATAAACAAGTGCTTTAAATAACTTCTAACAACCTATAAAAGAACAATGGCAGAAACATATTTACCTAAAACTTAAGCGTTTAAAAAATTGACTCACAGTAAACTTAATCAATATTTTTTCTATGATTTATCATTACACCACCATGTGTTGTATAAGTCTAATAAGAGATAGGATATTTTTGAAGATTTTATTTGACCTAAGTACGTAATGTCAGATTCGCCATCACGTATAACTGACTAGGGATGCGTGGTGGCAATATTATATTATGGAACATTTTATCGATAATCGATTCTTATAGCTTTGCCTGAAATATTTACCGATTTATCTATTATGATTATGAATTTGCTTCTGCCCACGTCTTCACTCGTACGGTAGAGTGACTGAATCAACATAATTAGAAATGATTTAAAATATTTTTGACTCTCTTTAAACGATTTTAAACATACTAAAGGAATAGAATATAGTTACGTTATTTTCCACTACACAGTGTGATGAGAAAAATACATTGTCATTGATAACGGCACATAAATAGACATACATCGATATTTTCAAAATGTCGATACTTCGTCGTTTAGATCCTGTCAAGTTCCGGACTCACCACGTTTGTTATTTTATTTTTGTTTAATTTAGTGTTAAACTCGAATAGATGTTATGCTTTTATTTTTTTAATTTCATATACTGTAATAATAATGAAAAAAATATTTTCGGCTATCTGACACACAACGCCATCTAGTTTCAAACAAAACATTAACAATATGTTAGTACTTAACCTCGAAACATTCAAAATCCAATATCTTTTTTCCTAGACTTCTTGCGCAAGTAATTTTGATATGAGAATGGTCAAGAATAAATTCTCAATTGTTAAGGATTTTTTGATATTTAAACGCTAAAATTTCAGTTCAAATAAAATTATGTATGGGGACCTGCCATTGTCCTTTGTAGATATTTTTACATTGCCACCTCATAGCTCAAAACAAATATTTAATTGGATTAATGAATGTTGCCACTACAATAGATAGTTAAAAATAATTTGTATAAATTAGACAAAAATACTAAAGAATATTTATTGATAAAATACCATCTTTTCACGTTAATATAACATTATTTTGAGATATAAATGATGTGGCATTGAACAGATGCTCATAATAAATAATTCCTATGTAAATAAAATTAATGTTTAAGTAACAAGTATGGTTAAACATAGGCGACCATACAATGCCACGGTTTATCTTTATTTTTTACATTTAAGTGTATATATGTGTTGGTGTACAAAATTAAATGTACACTGATCAATAACATTCAATTTCTTGTAAATTATAGCAACTTTTTTTTATATTCCCAAGACTGTACGTATTAATCATCTAATATGTAAAAATAAACTCTAAAAACGGTATTGAATTTATTGTTTTATTTGAAAATTGCCCCTGAACATAATAAATTGAATACACAATAACATGAAATACAAACTTTGAAAGCCGACGAAATAACAACGTAAAAAGAGCGTAGAATAATCCATCTTCTGGTGAAGCCAGAAGATGGATTATTCATCATTCATCAATACCAAGCGCTGTTGGACTCTTTAAAACGAAATATGTTAACAAGAGAGAAAGAAGCCACTAAAAAAGAATTTCACGACCTCTTTCCTAGTTGTATCTTTCTAGTAATATTACTGTACTCTGTGGTTCTATCATCAGATCACATTTACATTGCCAGTTTTTTTACAAGTGAAGCATTAACTTCACATTTTAACACTCTTATGTAAAAGTTTTAATGAGACAGCATCAGGGACTTCTGACCAAGAAGTTTCGGAAACCGTTTTATTAGCATGAATTGTTTAATGATAGAGAGAAGTTATGGAGTTTGTTAGGACAGAAGCCAACGTTCGACTTTCCTTGTAACTCCTGAGTTGCATGCGGCGGCAGTAAGGAGAGGCTATGTCCAGCAGTGGACTAGTAAAGGCTGTTGATGATGATGATCAGGTGACACGTGTGCTCGTTTGCCCCTTCTTCCATTAAAAAATTATACATTTCTCTTTCTGGTCGGTTCTGAAGATCGTGACCAATGTCGTGGTTGCATCCGGAGCGGATAAGCTCTCTCCACCGAATCCTGTTTAGCGCGTCTCTCACGGCGGTGTACAAATTGGGAGACAATGGGTCTTTTATCAACGAGATGGACAGATCAAGACCATTTTATTTACGCATGAGCTCAACTGCAGTGCTTTGCCATATACTTTACTTCACATTACTTACCATAATATACTTCTAGAAATCAGAACTTGTATAAAAAGTAAATCAATTTTATCCAAATTACAAATACCCTTTAAAAAGATGATAAAGAAAAGAAAATAACCATCTGCAACATTAGTCTTTGACCGTCACCGAACGGTTTGAAAAGTGCGAGTTGGTCTAAAGTTTCGTTCGCTAATGCGTTGTTAAAATGTTCGTTAAAATGGGCAGAGAGTGACGGTTATATGCACGTATTCAGACTGGTTAAAGATAGAATGTAAATTAGAAAACTAAAAGGGCTAGCTAGGGAGCTAGCTCCCTAGCTAGCCCTTTTAGTTTTCTAGGGACTCCAAGACTTGAGACATCGAATGACTGTTATGAACGCGTACCTGAATGCGCATCGTGTGTTTAGAAACGCCACTAGAACAGGAACATAACACAGTCAGATAAAATGATTTTAAGCAAATTTTAAACATTTAGAAAATAATGATATAATCCAACTTACCCGAGTAAAAAAAACTGCCTTTGTTGACTTCATTTTGTTTAATACAAATATATTTACAAAATATAATATCGTATCACACATATACACGTATTTACAAATATAACATTAAAATACTTACTAAGTCTGCATACATATGTTACAAAAGTTTTCGACATAATCTTCTAATAAAAGTTACAAGTGAAGTGTTGTCATTATTGGGCATTAGTGGGGGCCAGTTGCTGCATTAACACTCAAAAACAGTCCTTTATAAGTCTAAGTAAGGTTGACTAGGTGACCCAACCAAGCTCCTTTTAGAAGTACGGAAGCCTTCTGGGGCGTGTATATCAGGTATGATACTAGTGCGTTGTGCGGCGGCTCTGTCACGAGAAATTATCTAAGGGACTCTCCGTCGCATTGATGGTGAATAGCCGTCGGTTAAGGACAAGGTATCTCATAACATGCGTATGTGGGTGATGAGAGAAAAAGAAAAGATATTATTTCCTTTGACAGTTCAGTCACATTTACTAGAATATATTATTTTATAATTAAGGATTAAATTTTCCTCTGTCTTCTAATGAGTGAAGGTAAGTATAGCTACCGAAATAAATACTGATGCAACGCTAGTTTGAATATTTTAACTTAATATTCCCAAGTCAATCCAAGTAATTTGTTAAAACTACAATTTCATTATGAAAGTTAAACTCCTATAAAACCTTATAACAATTAACTTTTTAATGAGAATTAAAACACCTATACAAACCTGTGTAAATCTTATAAAATCTAAAACTAATATTTGTTTACTATATATTATTATTGTTCTTTACAGGTAATACATTACCTGTTAAGCTTGTTCTAATTAATTGTCAATATATTTTCGAAATACGTCTACATATTTCTTTATATACTTAAATTGTCACTACCCTTATTTTTCGAAAACTGTTCGCCTAAGATCTTCATGACTTGCGCATGAGTTCTTGTACCATCTTTTAATGAAGCGTAATTCTCTTTGACATACAGAGCAAAGTCGTTAGTGGCGCCCTTTCTGGCGGGAGTTTGGACAACGACGCCATCTTTGTTCTTTTTATTTAGAATCAACTCGAAGGTACCCCGACAGTAACCGCAGCATTTCTTAGTTACGTCTATTGATTTTGAATGGCGTTGGACACTGAAAAAGAAAGATAATTTATACAAATAATTAGTAGAAACTGAACTGTATTTTTAGAGTGAGTCTAGAATTTTCTATAGAAGTCTTTTATAGTAGTATGTAGGAGTAACCCGACAACTTAAAAAGCTTTTTGAAGGAAGTAAATAGGCGACTATTAATGCGGATGTATGTACTAGAGACTGCCTTAGTACAAAAGATAAGAGAAAATAATAAAAAGGATAAGCGGCTGGCTAATAAATTCTCGAGCGCTAATTATCGACAAACAGCATGAGACATAAGAACACAACGCATTCGAGAATTTTATTCATAGCCTCTTATCTTTTTATAATCAACCAGCTGTCCCTGCCACGCTTCGACGCTGTGACACATTGTGATTGCAAAAAAATTGATAAAAAACATACTTTAAACGTGTTGTATATCATGTCAAAATTTTGGCTAAATCGGTGTAGAACTTGAATTTTTGAGGCGTACACGAAATAACCTTCCATTTTTGTATAAACATACATAGATGTGATAAACATTATTATAGTTCTCTTGTAGTACTTAAGGTAAACTTACCTATAACCACATTTCGTGCATTTGTATGAGTATTTAAAGTGAATTTCCATATCGTGACATCGCGATATCTCGCCGAGTTCGGGATAAGCCTTTAATGCGCGCTTAGCCCTGTAATTAAAAAAAAGAAGTTGATTAAAGGCTTCCATTATAAAAAAACTACACACCTCAATATCATCAAAATCAGAATAGCCTTATTTCATAAAAACTTTGTTTGAAATCGTCTCTTGTGTCAGACTCAAGTCAAAGATCAACACACAATAGCAACAATCTGTGTTTCGTCAAATATTTAGCGAAATAAATCTATACATAACGACAATTTATATGCCCCCAATCTGGGATTCTGTGCCATGTCCCTAGTTACCACCCCACTAGTAACATCAGTGCATCTAAAAACATACAACCCAAGTACACCTAGACTTACTAAAACATACTTAAATTAAAACAAACATCAAACTAACCATTTGTTCCATAAAGGCCCATGTCCAGCTCTAAGTTCGGAGTCAATGAGCCATGTTGCCGCATGGCACAGTTCATGTATAAGAGTATCCCGCAGCCGTTGTGGTGCATCCACGACTTTGGTTGACAGTTTGATACTTGAAGTCCTTATGCGGTCACCTCTTGCATTCTTTATAAGGCGATTGGTTGTTGTTCTGAAATGATAGAATTATCATACGTTTTTTATCATTATATTTACATGATATGGATACTAGTGAGATTCAGAAAGACCAAAAGCCTCTTTGAACAAAATTTGCTTCATAATTGGAACAAAGAAACTTTCTAAGGAGAGGCCTATGTCCAGCAGTGGACTATTAAAAGCTGTTGATATTATGTGTTGATGAAACATTCATAATAATACACTTAATGTAGATTGGTTCAACCTTAATTTGATTTTTACGTGTGGAAACCCCCTCGGGCCGTCACCCCACCGATGTTTGCGGCGGGGTGGTGTGTCGGAATCGGACCAACGATAACGACACGGTGTGCCACTCTGCGCCTGTAATAGGCGGGATCCGGGAACTGCTGTTATCAAGACATCCAGACCTTGATTTAATCTTCATAACCTATCCTAGCGACTAGACTATTAAAAGAGGTATTCCAGTTTTAAAACACTTCAGAGAATAGACTTATATACACCAGCTTTGAACTCTATTTGTCTCTAATTTTCAGAGGGTTATATGAGATATTTAGGAAAATAAAGTTGGCTAAGAAAATTATAGGCTATTGAATGTTGCAAGTGATGTCTTACCCGGCCGTAGTCCGTAGCTTAGTGTCCCACAATATTGGTAAGTCTGCATCCATGGCATTATCGAACACACCTTTATTAAACTCCACAAAAAGCCTCCTGGTCAGTTGTTCTCGGAGAGTCTTATAGTTATCTCTGTACTGAATTGCTTCAACGTGGCACCTCCAAGAAGGTACACTGTCTGAAATGAAGGAAGATCAATTTAAAGCCAAATTTATTGGGTTGTACGACTACAAAGTACAAAAAAAAAATAGAAAGAAAAGTAATATAAATAATAGAAACTACTGTTTCTATTATTATTTTAGGTCTCCTGGTCAGTTTAAGTTGAACTGTCTTAGTATATAAACTTTTGTATTTTAAATTTTAATATTAAGTATTTTAAACATTTGCATTTCTTCTACAAATAAAATTTCAGTAATCCAAATTTTATTCCTAAAAATAGATTTTCCTGACATCTAAAATCTAATTGTGTATCTTTAAGTTTGTCAAAAGAAAAGATAATGACCATTAATAAATCTCTTATGTTAGCTACTTTGTAAACTAATGTATCGATTTTCTAGTACACCTGTTAAAGAATACATTTAGCCCAACATCTTAGACTTGGTGAATCTCTATTCTGTCTGCTTTTAGTAGCTAATTTAGTAAAAACCTCTTACCTGCCAAAGACCCAAGAAAACTTAGCCTCCTGCAAGTGTCAACACTTGGTGGAACTGGTGTGTTTGTAACATTAAAGTCTTCAACTTTTTTCGTCAGCAAATCCACATCATTCTTCATAATCTCAACCATCTCTGTCACACTCATGGCTTTATTCACTTTACTCTTTTTTGTAGTACTATTTACATTCCTTTGCTTAATGGCTTTTATCTTTGGTACTTCCGGAGTACTTGGAACCATCTCTGTGTATAACTTTTTCTTACTTTTCTTATCTGTATCTGTACTCGATATATCTACTTTACGTTTTATTTCAGAGTTTGTTAAATACAACATTTTATTATGTTTCAAGTCATGGCGGATGTTTTCCTTTTCAGAACTATCATCTTCAAACTGCAGTTTTTTGGTAACCGTGTCAAAATTTTCATATTTTGCTGATATAGCTTTAAACAGCTTTGGTATAGACTTCCATGTTTCTCCGTACAAGTCGTTAAGTAATTTCTTCTGTGATAATTGTATTTTTTTAATAGAGCATTGCTCCTGTGATTCGTTTGCTACATCTTTATTTGTAGAAGGTGTAGGATCATGTCTAGGTGTAGCAGTAATGATGTTTTGTGCTGGTGACCAACCGCCATCGCTAGGTCGAGATTCACCAGTTGGTGACATGTCTTCTCTTGAACAGTTAAATGATATCTACAAAATATAGTATAGTATATTCATTTAAGAAAAAATAATAAAACATGTTAAAGCCATTATAGTAATGTTTATAATTTTGCTTGAGGAAGAAATATAATGCCAGCAGTAACCATATCACCAGTAAAAAAGGAGCTCTTTTTCAAGGAAAGAATCATTTTGTTGTGACAATCATGGATATTGTCACACCCTTAGGCTCCAAAACTAAGTGGGCTATCACTAATTAGAATATATTTCTGTTTAAGTAAAAGAAAAATTAACTTACATTCCCTACTTTACTTGGTGGTTCTTTCTCTGCAAAATTAATCTTAGGAAGCTCATTACTAAATGACAACTCACAGGAATCATTTATTACAATTGGAGAATAAATTTTTGGGGTTGCTTGAACCTGAAATAGATACAAAAACTTAATCACTTTCTACATGGTCAGTGAGATTCTGAGTAAAATTTAACTCTTCAACGTTAACGTTAACGTTTCATTCCTTTCTAGCAAGGTTTAGCTGCAAACATTGGCTACACATTATTTTAAGGCTATACAGTAACAACTATACAGTAAGTGACATAAACAATGAGATTAGTAGAGTTGATACTCTAGGTCTGTGACATAAAGGTGAGGGATCGCACTTCAAACCATGGCATCAATTAGTAGAATACGAACCACTTATAGCAGCCCCATGCCATAGGATCCCCAAAACAAAATATCTTAACAAAAAGATACCAGATTCAGATACAAAAAAAGTGTCAGAGATTAATACGGCATTAACGAGGTCCGAATTTAAACGGGTGGTTCCAAGACCAGGTCTGGAACTGGAACACAATTGCATATTCCAATGTGAATGTGTGGCAATAACTTACGCCGTCACAACGGATAGCCGTTGTGACTGATATAGATCAAGGGGCATTAAGGACTATAAACTCAGTCTCTTTATTTCATAAAAAAGAAAAATTGTTTGAAATCGTCTTTTATCACCACACATCATCACATCAACAGCCTTTAATAGTTCACTGCTGGACATAGACCTCTCCTTAGAAAAGAGGTTATATAGACTCAGTCATAGATCAACACACACAAAAGCAACAATCTCTGTTTTGTCAAATAGTAAGCAAATAAATTTAACAAAAATCAAACCTATACAAAATCTATGATACACGCAAAAATTTTATTGACCAATAATACTATAGAAATTTTAAACAAAGACAATCTAAGTTAGTTCGGATGAAATTCAATAACCAGGCTATTATAGATATAAAGAAGTTTTGACAGAACTTCAACAATTGATCCATACAGGATGTTTAACTACATTAAACGGAGGATTAAGTCCTTTTGATATATTCGATAGTTACTGTATGGATTAATGTTTGGGAACATTGATAATAATTAGTGTTACTTATAAAATAACATGCTTTAAATTGTAGTTAATAATATATACTGTTATGAGGTAAAGACCTTCCAACAATTCTGACAAATACAGACGATATACTTTTGTACTTTATTGTATTGTTTTGTATTGTACTAGTGTACAAAGTAGCAATTAAAAGTAGGTACTTACAGTTTTCGGCGAATCCGATTTTAATCCGTCGAAAGACTCGTCAAGTATTATAACATCGGAACTGCGATTAAGCTGCTTTATGTCTTGAGTTGCCTTTAATCTGGATTTCTTCAGAGATAATTTAAGGTATCCTACAAAAACACGTGAAATAAAAAGCAAACAAAAACTACAACAATTAATACTAAACTACACATAGAATAAAATACAAGACAATAATGAGTGTTATTATAATAATACTTACGCTGTCTTTGGTTATTTTGTGTGGTTTTAGTGTCCATTATTAAAAACTATTCGTCAATTATTTGTAAAAATTCATGCAATACCAATATGTTTAAAAAAATAGCAACCGTTGGGTTTTGACTAATTTGACAATTGTGTTTGAGTGTTACTTGCCTACAGGTAACTGTATTACTACCAAACTCTAAATTTAGTAGAAGACTGTTACGTCACGTGCCCCACGTGCTCGGAGCTGCATGTCGTTATGGGACGGAATTCTAGCCCTGGTATATCATTATCTTTCCATTTTTTATTGTTACTTTTTGACTTGATTTTTCCAAAGTATATTGAGGAAATTTCCTTATCAACATCAGAGAGAAATCTAAAACTTATTGTTTGTTGCCGCTGATATAATAACTGAACTAATTCTTAGAATACTTAGAATTAGTTCCAAGGATTAACAAAGCACCTATAAAGTCTGTTTAGTTAATAATCTAGTCAGCCAAGTGGCTGACTAGATTATTGATCGGGGCGGGGCGAAGTCGCCCCGCCCTTTCCGCCGAAATTAATGCCGTGTGTCTCCCTTATTACAGGGGTTTTAGGTGGTATGTAGGTAAAAGCCGATAAAAGGCCAAAAATACACTAGATTTCAGCGTACAATCAAAAATTTTAAAGGATTTAGGAAGAAACTGGAACAAGAACTGAAAGTTCGGTTTCGGTTTTGGCTGAGAAACCTGTTTCGGTCGGACACTACAATTTTATTTAGTGCCAGAGGTCCTTCATTCTAAAGTATGGTTCTGTGTTTACCTACCAGACAAAGTAGTTATGAAGTTCCGTTTCTGTTTTTTCTTTTTTTTTAATAATAAAATAATTAAAATTAAAATATTACCAGTACGTTAAAATTAAATCACTATAAATTGTTGAAATATTTAAAAATCCGTTTATAATTGCAGCAAAATGTCTTTAAGTTCCCATTTAAAGACATTTTGCTGCAATTATAAACGGATTTTTACATATTATAGTAAAATCTATCTACGAGATCTTTTGACAATTTTCGCTTGGATTTTAAGTATCAATACCTATCACACAGTCATGTCATTTCGGTCAAAAAATAATTATACCTATTGCTTAAATAGCAAAATAATTATTTTCATTTTCTTTACATGAAAGGAAGTAATTAGTCATCTAATGACTAGGTAAGCAAATTAACTGAGGAAAGCTCTATTATATATTATAATACGACATGACGTGTACATATAAAATATAAGCTATATAAAATACTAGCAACTCCGTCGCCGCGTCGTATTGTCATTCACGCCTAAAAGAATAATTAATTTACAAAACAGTTTCTATTACATATTTAGCTATTTTATTACTTGAATAATATTATTTGTTTTGTTACATTTGTCTTAGATAAGTAACAGTAGATCTGAGATAGGTTTCTGTCGGTAGGTACGGTATTCATTCCTACATCTTCAGTCTTCCATTCCAATGGTTCTGAAACATATATTTTCGCAACTTTTGTAACTAATTATAATTAAAGAAAAAAATATAGGCCAATTCTCAATTTTTTTTTACGAGAAATGGCTTCCAGGTCCTGGAGATTTTAAATTACCCTTTGTTTTGTTATTTTTCTCTACCTTTCATTTGTAAAGGGACCGTCTCGGCGTAGCAACAAAGCAAGTGAACTATAAATAAATTCAAATAAAACATATGAAACTGTTCCATTATTTAATAAACCTTTATTGTTTATATCAGTTGTTTGAATCTTCAGTCTTTAACTTACCTTAGTTACCCAATATGTAAGTTGACAATAAAGTAAAATAAATTGTTTAAACAAAAGCAACGATTTCATTTGTTTAAGTTTTAAAGTCTTCAGAGCTATTTTGCCATGCCTTTCATTTATATTTACGCAAGAAAAGAAATTGAAAGCTGAGGTGCACCGTCACGTTCAAGTAGGTCAAGTAACATAACAATAAGTATACTTTTATTACGAAACCATTTTGGGCAGATTCACCCAGACGTCGTTACGACTTTAATTTCTTTGTTTTGTACCACAGTACAATGGATTTAGATTCCAATCGCTAGTTTAATGGACGACGCGTTGTTTTCGCTTAGTAAGTATCACCGACTTCAACGTGCCTACATCGTGACCATATAATTATTTGCATCTTCATTCCTTAATTTTCCACCCTTAAAAGGGGAGGTATTTTTCTTCAAATTTAAGTGGGATCAATCGGAAGAATACTCATTGAAATTAAATTATGGATAAGGTGGGTAAATTATTTGAGAGGGTTCTGTCTGCTTGCATCGTCCGGCACCGCTGCGAACTGGGCCTTGATCTGTCAGACGCCATATTTTGTTTACCAGCGGGCCGTTCGACGATTAGCGCGTTGCGCCTCTGGGTCGTGACCGAAAAGGCGGCGGTATGACATTGGCGGTGTCGTTGGACATCGCTCAGACATTTAATAGCCTGCCAATCAGCTACATCAGGGGGCACTCCAGTATCACGGGTTGACAGAGGACTACTTGAGGCATCTAGTGGCAGAATATTAAGATGAGCGTACCGTCATGTACGAGGTCCAAGAGCGATATCAGAGGCATCGGCCCATGGCGTAACGTATTCCACAGGGGTCTGTTCATCATTCCACTGGCGCCTTCGAGGAGACCTCCTCCACGGGGTGGGCGTAATTTGTTACGCCGATGACATTTTGTTTACAGCCCATAGACCTAATTTTTAAGAAGCGGTGCGCCTGGTCCTGGTTGTAGAGACGATTCAGTAATGAATCAAGTCTCCAACCTCCTTGTCCAGACGAACCTGAACCATTGTGTACAATTGTGTACAAACCATGGCACAGTAGTCGATCGGTGTGGCCGTAGCCGCAGAGCCCTATTTTGTCCCTACCCGTCCAAACTGGTTGGGTGACCGGGACGGCTCCGTAGCAGTTGTCGGTTCTACGGCGGCTCATTCCCCGCCCTTGTCGCTAAGAGACAAAGGCACTGGATATGTTACTGTCGAGTGGGGGCGAATCACTATATGTATACGGTGTATACTTCTCCCCCAACCGGAGTTTGAGCTACTTCGAGGTTTTCCTCAACAGCTTGGAGACCTCGATGCGGCGACTAGCGTCTGAGCACGTCCTTGTGCTGAGGGATTTAAAGGCAAAGTCCATTGCGTGGGGTACTCCCAGAACGGACGCAAGGGGTGAGGCCGTAGAGGAGTGGGCGGTATCGGTGGGCCTCTGTCTTCTAAACAGAGGCTCCACCAACACGTGCGTACGACAGCAGGGGGGTTCGTTAGTGGACCTTTCGTTCGCTACCCCTGCCCTTGTCGCACGAGTAAGGAACTGGCGTGTCCTGGCAGAGGTTGAGATGCTCTCGGATCACTTATATATCCGATTTGAGCTCTCCTGGACCCAGGACCCCAGTAGTGGCCATGTGTTCGGAAACACTTGCTAAGATGGTTCTCATCTTACATAGATAATAGATCGCAAACCAGTATTAAATAATTACATTTCAAGTTGGATTCATGTGCCCAGCAGCGTCCCTCAAGGGTCCTTACTCGGTCCTTTATTATTTATCATCTATGTAGGAAAGCAAAATGCCTCGCAAGTACAAGCGAAAAACAGGCGTGGTGCCACGCCACATCAGCTGGACAGAAGATAGCTTAGCACTTGTAATACCACTTAGCATAACTAAAAGAGTTAAACAATCGGCAGAATTTTTAAACTCTGACGATAAAATAGTTCAGAAGAAGGATAAAGCCGAAAAAATAAAAAAAAAACAAATAAAATTATCACAGAGAAAAAGAAAAACGTTAGACAGTAAAAAACAAACTAGCTGGTAACAAGAAAAGTATTGAGAAAAAAAAAAGGAAAACCGCAAAAAAATAAAAACACCAAAAAATATATTGATAAGACTAGCAGTGAAACTGAATCTGATAACGCAGAGTTTATGAAACATAATAAGGGAAAATATTTAAGGAAGAGAAGATTAATAATAACCTTAAGTTTGAATAATATTTTTATATTTTAAAGCATTAAAACTGAAGAATATTTAATAATGTTAATTCATATTTTAATGTACTTAATAAAAGATCTCATTAAATTATGAAGACTGATAAATAAATGATGAAGAATTATTTAATTGATATAAATTTATTTTTATCCCAAAAGAACATATATCGAGGTGACTATCCTCGCACTAGGCAAGTATCCCTCGAAGGATTTTCCACGCTAGGCTACTATCCGCCACAGTAGGCAACTATCCGTTTTTTCAGAGGCCAAATAAAACAGGATTTAAATAAAACCAATGTTAATTATGTTAACAAAAATAGGCTATAATAGAAGATAAAAGACCTACGTTATGAAATACATATCGTATAATTTCCAGCAAGTAAATATTTAAAAAAAAATAAAGCTTTTTTGAAAAGTGGGGCAACTATCCGGCTTTTACCCTAAATGACATCGACCGGTGTCTGCAAACGTCTAAAATTTTATGCTTCGCTGACGATATGAAGATATATTCAAATATACTCTCGACTTATGACACGGCTGCTCTCCAGGAAGATTTATTACAATTGGAAGAGTATTGTCACGCTAAAAAAATTAGATCTAAATCCGTTAAAATGCTCGGTAGTCACGTATTCAAGGAAGGATACTACTTCAGTATCGAATTATATATTATGCAATACCTACCCAGATGCAACACTGTCCGTAACCTTGGTGTCTATCACGTCTCTAGACTCCTGTAGTGCTGGTCCATTTTCACAGCTAAAGTTTTACTGTCCAACAGGGCCCCAAATTCTTGGGTGCCCAGGGGCCCGAGCATAGCCTAAGATGGCCTTGTCTCCAAGTACGGATAAATGCAGAAATTATCATCACTGCGGTCTTTTTCAACAAATATATTTAACCAGCAGATAACAAACGTCTTCATATGCAATTCCAAAGCCGAATTTTAAACCCGAATATGTATTTGGGTTTAAAATAGTAATAAAACTGACATATTATTGTGCCGGAAGGAGAACATGCAACATTACAGGAACACATTCCTGGTGAAGACT